ACTTTTTTTTTTTTTTTTTTTTTGGTGACTGGCCGCAGGTATGGAACCTGCACCTTGGTGTTATCAGCAACACACTCTAATCAACTGAGCTAACCTGCCAGCCAAAGAAGCATTTTAGAAATATTCATTTGGCTATGGTAGCCAGATTAAATGGAGAGGGGAAGACTAGAGGCAAGGAGATCAGAAAAGACCCATGGTGAGTCCAAGTGTGGGTGAGGGGAGGGGGATGGGAAAGGAAGAGGTGGGGGCAGGAAGCAGAGGAAGGACTAACCACCTCTCAGGTGTGCTGACCAGCATGTGTGGTTGGAGCTTTCTGTGACTTTCTGAAAATATGTCTGTGTTACTTTCTGAACATGTATCTGTCAAATACAAGCAGGTTCTTAAGAACTGATTCGCTTTTGCTTTTGCGGTTGGAGGTGGGGGATGAAGAAATGAAGGAGTTATTCATTTTGAACTTGCAGTATCTAATCTAATACCTGTGCAATTCAGTATGTTGAACCTTTTCTTCTTGATCTTATATCTTTACCTAAGCACAAAAAGTGTTAGCTAAAAGTGTTTTTGGTTTTTATTGTTTGTTTGTTTGTTTACTGTGTCATGTCACAAAAAGACAAATATCAAATGGTTTCACTCATATGGGGAATCTAAAAGAAAAAAAGTAGTTCTCATAGAAGTAGAGATTAGAATACTGGTTACCAGAAGCTGGGAGGGGAGGGGAGTGGGGAGAACGGAAGGAGAAGGGGTGGACTAACAGGCACAAAACTATGCTGTGTACCTTAAGTGAATCCCTTTTTAGTATATACATGTACCGGAACAACACACTGTACCCCACAAAAATCAATAAAATTGAAAGAAATAAAAATTTTAAAATATAAAAAATAAAAAGTGCCATGAAATGTAGGAATTAAAGGCGATCTGAGAACATTTCATTTTACCAGGAAACTGGCTCTAGTCGAACATGGATTATTCCAAGCTTTTCCATCAGTACAACTGAAGGAAAGCCCCAACAATTCATGAGATTCCTTTATGCCTGCAGCCGTATGTTGGAGCTCCTGTTAGAATTACTTTCTGGTTTTGAATGTTTTATAAGTTAATGTACTTATTATACAGAAATTCAAAGAAACTTGATGTATTTCTGAATGTGCAGAGGAAAAGTTTCAGGAGAGTTTTTGAACAACCCAAATGTCATGGCTGCCTGTTGTGTTTATGCATATCATGATATGGTAAAGTGATTGGCCTCTGGCTTCTGGGCTGAACTTCTAACAACTAAGCTCTGGCCTTATCACTCACAGAAATGCAACGCCTTCACCCTTCAGGGGCACTTGAGGCTGGCACACTCTATTCCAGTGACACCACTTGACAGAAAGATGGCACTGGATAGAAAGCCTCTGGCTCACGTTCCCAACACCCCACCCTGCAGCCAGGCACTCAGAATCTCTTTCCTGGGCAGTGTCACTTTCAACTCTTTCCAGTGCTTTGGCTATTTTGAGATTGCCCCTTGGGGACTAGAAAGAAGCCTGAAGGGGAGATTCAGGCTCGCAGTGACTTGGGTGACTAAGGGTGCAGTCTTTGTCCTCCCCTCTTTCTAGCTCCACTTGTTTCCTGACTCCCCCTCCTTAACCCCCCAAGTTGGCAGAACTCCGTTAAGTCCGGGGCAGGGGTGAACAAACAAATGGATCATTCCCGGGTTGTAACACTCTGATGATCAGGTTTCGGCCTGAAGCAAATTCATATGTTTGACTTTATAAACTTGACTTTATAAACCTCGTAAGCATTACTTTTTGCTCTTGACGTGGACAGCTGTGGAAGTCGGTCTCTGTAAGGTAAGAATGAGTTTGGTTCTCGTGTTGATATTCCTTCTAGAAGCCTTTTATTCCAATGCCAGAAAGATGTGTAAGCATTATATAACATTTCCATGCACTGTTACATAGACAATTAAAAGCCGTTTACTTCTCAAGGATTTAATTAAAGATTTTTTTTTTTTTTAATTTTCAGGCCTGAGCTGAGGGCATTCCCAGTGCCAAATTAGAGAAGGGGCTTACAGTCCTGCTGCATTGTGTGTTCATAGCTACCCTGTTGGCCCCCCCGCCCCAATATAATCCCCCCACAGCTAGGCTAACAACTGCCTACTTTCAAACCCATTCATTTGCCAAGTCAAAAGCCACTGATATAAGTAAGCTTAAATGCTTTCGGATTTTAATCCTCTTGAGTATATATTTTCTTCTCTCATCGCTCCACAACTAATCCCAGAGTTTTGAGAATCTGGGAACGTGGGCAAAGGAGAAAACAACCACGTAGACCAAGAAATCTGAAATCTCAGTTCATCACATCAACCAAAACTGAAAGTACCTTTTTGTTTATATTGACCCAGCTTAAATTATAAAATCCTATAAGCAATAAAACACAAAATACAGGTATTCGTGAAAAGTCTGAAATGTAATGTGTTCTTTCTTCCCGGCGGTGTCATTTACTCTGTGCACTAACATTCGTGCTTACCTAAGCCTCTCATGTAATGTGTTCTTTCTTCCCGGCGGTGTCATTTACTCTGTGCACTAACATTCGTGCTTACTTAAGCCTCTCTCTTTATATCATGAACACTGTCGCGTCATACCCACACGTGTGTTAGCTGGGACTGGTAGCTGGGACTGGGGAGTGTGTGTTTTTCCAACTGGTCCTCAGCGTTAACTGTTAGCTGCACAAACCTTACCTTCCTTTCCACATCTACTGCTCCTTGCAAGAACAGCGCCCAGAGAGAGTTCCTGACAGATGCGCGGTTTGTTCCAGCAACCCACTCTCTGGAAAGTTTCCTGTAACCACTAACACCCACCTCCGATCCCCCAAGCTGTCAGGACGCAGACTGGCTGGGTCGTCTCTTGACAGGAGAAGGGTTTTACACACACCCTGGTAGGCTGCCCGATCTGAGAACCAATCTCTTAGCCAAACTCCTCCAACCCCAGCGGACAGACTGTCTTAAGGCGCTCTGGCGTTTCAAGTACACGGAGGTCCCCTCTCGGCTAAAGGGAGCACGGGCTCCGTTCTGCAGGGAACCGGGGCACTGGAGGTAGAGGGGATGCCGGGGAGGGTGGCGCAGAGGGGAGCTGGGGAAGCGCGGGAGGGAGCGGGGGCGCAGGAGGGAGCGTAAAGCAGAAGCGGGTGGGAGCCGCAGGAGGAGCGGGGACGGGGTGGGAGCGGGGCGCAGTAGTGGGCGCCGGGAATAAGGCACTGGAAGTAGCGGGCGCGGGAAGGGCGCGCTCGCAGGA